CCAAAACTCCCGTGGAAGGAAACCTCCATGCGGCAGGGAAAAGACTTAAAGCTTTAAGTCCCTGTAACCCATGGTGAAGACATGGTGATGACGAGTGTTTCCCTCGAAGCCCGTGGTGAACCCTCGGTGGGAGCCAAGTGGTTAGAGGTGGGGTGCTGAGACCCCACACCCTATAAAAGAGAGAGAAGATTTTCCAGCTAATGCAAATTGGAGCTGTAGCCCTAAGAGTGAAGGAGAAAGTTCTCCTCCTGGACTTTATAGAGGGAGAAGGAGTGATTTTTTGTAAATACATGGTTTTGTCATCATAAGAGAATTAGTTAGGATTGTTGTATATATTATAGTTTCTATTCTTTTAGTAATAAATTTTGATATTATTTCCCCATGCTGAGTCTGTTCTACCTGTGTGAAACTTCTCTCACTCTTTTAGCAGATTTGGGGGGGGTTGAAAAATTGGCCCCTGGTCAAACCAAGTCAATCCCTTTGTCTATATCATTAATTAATATATAAAATACACTGGGCCCAGTATGAAGCTCTGAGGGACACCACTTGTCACTGATGTCCTGCGGAATTCTGAGCTGTTGATCATTACTCTCTGGATGCAATCATCCAACTAATTTCTCATCCAGTAAAATGAGTACTTCACATCTAAAAGTCCACAAAAATGCCTCTAAGTTCTTCTACATGCATATTGCTTTTGCTGGATCATTCAATACAAGACGATTACGAACATTCCATGATTTCTTTGAAATTAAATAGTATTCATATTAAACAGGAATCTCTAGGCTTAAAACATGTCAGAGAAAGAAGGTAAACAAAATCTTTGCAGTTTGAAGAGGGCAGACAGACTGTGTGTACCTGCTTATAATGTTAAAATCAAGTTGGTTTGGGGTTGTTTGTTTGTTTGTTTGTTTATTTTTTTCCCTTCTCATTTCCCTAGTCCATCTAAACTCAGGTCAAGTCAGGCTAAAACTTCCAAAATTCTCAGCCAGTTAGGGTAATTCTGATGGTGTGTACACATGGCAACTATTGGTATAAGATACTACATAAGTTGTGTAAGTCAGCATGCCAAAAAATAATTGGTGGCAGTATTCCAGAAAGAATTAAATTCACTGAATAGCTGTTAATAAGGTTTTTACTCAGGGATATTTCTTCTCTCCCATGATCTGTGTTAGTAACCCTACCAACAGAACTCTCCCTCATGAATTAGTGAAATAGACTAGATAAAACTATATAAAGGGAACATATAAAGATTTCTATTAAATGACATCAAGCTTAACAATTTTTCTAACGCTCTCATCTATTATACTAGAGCATTTCACATATACATAGTATGCAGAAGTTTTGATGAATAATATAAAAAATATGTGTGTACATGTTTGCACATGTATGTGCATGCATACATGAAAGAAGAAAGCTGCTTTTCTCTCTTATAACACAATCATAGAATCAATCTACATAATGCGGAATAACATGCAAAATAGAAAAATACTGAACACTCTCTTCTTCAACTGGATTGTGGGCAAAGAAAGTAGTCATATTATAGGGAGTGGTATGTAGTTCACATGAAGAATATAGATTTTAGGAATTCTGGAAGTCTCCTGCAGTTCTCCTCTTCACGCTGAAGAGTGTTCATTGGCATTTCTAGCTATCACCCATGTCCTCATCTCAATGTCCTAATCACCTAACAGTCCTGAACTTTCTTTGCTTCAGTCAAACAAAAAGGGATTAAAATTCCATATTTAAATATCTTCATTTATGAGAGTGTTTTACTCTCCTGATTCTATTAGTTATGAAGCACCTACAGGCAGAGTAAACTGTTGCATATAGTGAGACTAACAATACCAGATTAAGTTCAGGTTGCTCTATTATCCTAACCATTGGTCCCCTGTAAACACATTTTTCTGCAAAGCTTGAGGCAGTTCCCAGTGAAACTGTGCCAAAAGATATCTGGGAGGAACATGTCAGCAAGCACTTAGAAGTAATCCTCACATCTTTCCTCCAGTAATTCATTTTGCAGTACCCTTTCCTGTCAAACTGGAGATGAAAAAATTGCCCCCTCTCAGCTGATGAGATTGATTTCTTTTACAGGCAGTGTTGTAACTAGTTTATGTAAAATGAAATGTGTGTCACAAAAAATAAACCACACAGCGGCATTGAATAAAAGAGCAATGTGTTTCTTTATACTGATGGCACAACTTATTTTTGAGTCGGACAGAAATATCAAAGGAATATTTTCTAATCTGTTGTTCAACACATTCTTGTCTGTTTGTGTGGCAACATAAATAGCATATTGTGTTATAACTAATTGGTTTAAACTATTAAGGCTTATTCTAAGGTGGTCTAAATATATCATGAAGTATAGCTATATAGTAAGTCACTAGTCTTTATTTTCTTCTAGAAAGTAATTTGCTTCGGTTAAACAAAAAGGGATTAAAATTCCATATTTAAATATCTTCATTTATGAGAGTGTTTTACAAGAAGAGATATATGGACCAATAAATATTTTTGGAATTTTGGGAGAAATGGAGAAAACAGAACATAAAATGTCAGCAAATTTACATGTGTATTATGTCAGAGCTTGTAAGATTTCTGTGTCCATGTTTCTTTCTGATATGATACACAAGTAATTCCACTTATACGCATCATCACTTATTTCAATAATTTTCTCCATAAATGATCCATCTATGGCACAAATGCTACAAAATATACCTAGCATGAATCACAGAGAAACATCTTAGCCTCATTTTTTAAATTAATCTTTCTGTTTAAAATGGTGGTCACTTCACTATTTCAGGAAAGTCAGAGAGGATTTTTGATATTCAATTACTAGGGATGTCATTGAATAGGTAGGTTCACTCTACACAGAGGATTTAAGAAAGAAAAGAGACATCTTTTTGAATTGTTGAGGGAAATGGGAAAAACTGAACCAAAAGTGTTATCAAATTTACATGTGCATACCTTTGTTTATGAAAGTACTCTTTTACTCTAAGTACTCTATAAAATCAAGATGGAAAGGAAAAAATAATTGTGCACTACATTATGTTTTGTTTGTAGCAGTGGCATTATTCTGATGTTCATTTAAATGAACTTTCCTTATGTCTTTTTGGAAAGAAATATGAGGAAGAAGATGGATGCTAGAGATTTATTTGTGTCACTTGAGCAAACAACTTGTCTCTTCAACTTGTACTACTACAGCTGTTCAGCTCTGTATGACCATGTAGTGTATTGGGTTTTATTATTTGGTGATTAAGAATAGGATGTAAATGAAACAGGTTATCTTTACAGAACCTTCTGTTCGGTCTGGGCTAGAGAAATATTTGAATAATAGTAACAGCATGAACTTGAACATGGATCTCACAAATTACAATCTTGATGACAATTCTGACTGCTCAAGTTTGTCTTTCTTGAATTTTGACTAAAATTTCTGCCTGTATATGTTTAAAAAGAAGGTAAAGATAAGATAAAATATTTACTTCTAACATTTTCATCAAAACTGCATGTTTCTGAAAAAAAGCGTAATTTCAAGTATGACATTTTTTAATAGAACACATTATTTTCAAGTTGTTTTGGTATGGTCTATGAAACATTCCTCTTGTGTTAGGGGTCTTTAAAAAACTTTGGTGAAGTGCTAGAAGTGTGCTACATAGTCTGATAGCAAATAAAGGCTGGTTCCCAATATATGAAAGGATGTCAAAAATTGTAGGACCTTCATGCAAGGAAAACCCCTCCATGTATTTGGCTGTCCTAATTTCCGAGCAAATGGCAACTGAGTTCAAATAATTTTCAATAAAAAGGGAAACTTTTTTGTTGAGTAATATCTGGTTCCTGCTTGGCACATAGGTCAGTATATATCTATGTTTTCTGCTAGGGTTTTCTTACAAACCTGTTGTTCATGACTAAGAATAAAGCATATTTTTCTTATAGACTATATTAAAGAAACATTTAAACCTTGAAGAAATTTGGTCACCTTTTTTATAATATGACTAATAGCAAGTTGAATATGACACTGTGGGTTGACTTCAGTTTCTGGATATGCCAGTGGTTTCCTTGGAGACCTTCTGCAGGTCACCTCCTCACCCTTTATCATATAATCATGGAACAGTTTGGGTTCAAAGGGACCTTTAATAATCGTCCCTTCTGCTATGTCTCAACTGAAAGGACAAGATGAGATTAGATATTAAAAAAAAAAAATCACTGGAAGAGTGGTTAGAATAAGTCGCCCAGGGAGGTGGTGGAATCACCATCTCTGGAAGTGTCCAAGAGGCATCTGGATGTGGCACTTGGGGTTATGGTTTAGGGGTGAATATGATGGTTCTTCTTTGACAGTTGGACTACATGATCACAAAGCTCTCTTTCAGTCTTGGTGATTCTGTGATCTAGTTCCAACCCTCCTGCCATGGGCAGGGACCCCTTCCATTAGACCAGGTTGCTCAAAGCCCCATCCAATCCAACCTTCCAGGGCATTGTCTCTGAGCAACTGGTTCCAGTGCCTCAGCACCCTCACAAAAAAGAATTTCTTCCTAATACCTAATCTAAACCTACTCTCATTCAGTTTAAAACTACTTCTTCTTGTCTTATCATTACGTGACCTTGTAAAAGGTCCCTCTCCATCTTTCTTGTATGCCCCTTTTAAGTACTCAAAGGCTGCTCTAAGCCTTCCCCCGAGCCTTCTCCATCCTGTACAGCCCCAGCTCTCTCAGCCTGTCTTCATAGGAGAGGTTCTCCATCCCTTCTCTGATCATGCTGATGTCCCTCTTCTGGACTTGCTTCCACAGGTGTAAGTACTTCTTATGCAGCACTCCAGGTAGAGTGTCATGAGAGCAGAGTAGAAGAGCAGAATCACCTCTCTTGATAGGATGGCCATGCCTCTTTTAGTGCAGCCAGGACACAGCTGGCTTTCTGTGCTGGAAACATGTTGCCAGGTCATGTTGAGCTTCTCACCAAGCAACATCCTCAAGTTCTTCCTCTCAGGGCTGTTCTATATCCGTTCATCTCCCAGTCAGTATTTGTGCTTGGGATTGTCCTGGCCCAGGTTCAGAACCTTGCACTTGGCCTTGTTGAACTTCCTGTTCATGTTGTGTACCACTGATGAGTGACACAGAATTGATATATCTAGCCCTTCATTTCCTTGTCTTTTGTTAGTAGTGCGTGAAAAACAAACACTTCAGAAATTCTGAAACAATCTTTCACCATTTCTGCAATATTTTGTTCATTTTGGCTAAGCCTTGCTGAATAATTCACCTTTACATACAGAACTTCTTGAAGCCCTTCATTTTGACAGACATATTTCTGGTGAACAAATAATTGCATGAAACACATCACACAGGTCCATTCTGATTTGCTTCTGTGCAAGAATTCAAAATTCAGTAAGGGAGCAAGAATTGTTCTGAGGCTTATCTGACACAAGCTGGGAACTATTAAATCTTCTGGAAAAAAAAAATCTTTTACTGAGATTTCAAAAAAAAATTAAATCTAGAAACAAGCAGTCTGAGTATTGGCAGAAGATCTAATGCTAGTTTTTCTTCTTTGTTGCAAAGTTAATAGAGTCCTGAAGAAAGACTGCTTGGTGACTGAAGTGGTTGATATTGACTGACCCAGAGTTGTGTTTAGGAGTGATTTTCCTTTACAAATTCTTTATATACTATCTTTTCCTTATTGAAATGTAGGCATTCTTTGTTTGGTAGCCTCATTTAACTTTATCAGCATCTGAAGAAAATTGATCCAAAGACAACAAACAGTCCTTCTCTGATTGTTTTAAAGTATGTTGATAATGAAGTGTGGTAACACTACGATTTCATCTCATTCTTTTTCTTTACATTTGTAAAATTTTCTTCTCTATTGTGGCTTATTCTGTGTTAGTCTGATTCTGTCTTTGTTTACTCAATCCTGAAAATATTTTTTAATTTAGTTACTGGAAAGTAAAACCAAAATGTGAACTAATCTCTATTTGCATAATATGTATCTTCCATTTTAAGACAAAACATTCTGACAAGAAGTTACATGGTACAAATTCCCTTCCAGAAAAATCATGCCTCACTCACTATAACTTAAACTCCTTATTTTTAAGTTTAATTTCAATTTCAGATAAAAAACATGCAGGAAACAGTCATTCCTATTTTAAAGCTCACAGAGTACTATCAAAAGAAACATGAATTCCTGCCAACTCTTGACCACTTTACAAAAATAAAATCATTATGGGCTAGAATGAGCTGCTTTTTACTGCAAAATTTTCTATTTATACTGGCAGCTCCCTGCAAGTAAGTGTACATAAACCATGTCCATGATGAGCAGTATGGTTTTCAGTCAGAGGCTGACAATTTTTATCAAATTATAAGGATCAGCAGATGGTGCTATTGCAGATGGCTATCTTGTTTGGTTTTGTTATTTTCTTTTTTTTTTTTTTTCTGACCAAAACTGGCCATAAGCTCTTAAAAACTGTGCTTGTTGTCATTCATGGTCTGGTACTTTTTAAAAACTGTGGATGTTCTTTTATAATGTTATTTTCTTAAAGATATATTATGGATTTTAGTTATATAAGCAAAATGATATTCCATGGTGTGAGAAAATTGCAGTATCTGCCTTGCTGGAATGGAGGGATAGTACTCAAATAAGAATTAGCAATGTGCTCCTGCAAAGACACAATATTCTGGTTCCATATGGCCTGAATAGAGCAGCTTGAAATTACTGTAATTGGAAGTGTTTAGTTAGGCTTTCTTAGATAAGGAAAGGTAAAAGGACAGTGCTTCCAAGCACACAGCATAAGTTTTCTCTAGACAAGCAAAATAGAAGTGAAGTGTCACAAAACAGGGGCATCATTAAAGCAATGGCAGTTTCTTGACAAATGCTGTAATTTACCAAAGGTACAAAGCTTTTTGTACGTTGGAGCAGAAACTGATCATTTCATCCAGTAAAAAGGAAGGGAGAGTGGAGAGAGACTTAAATTTAAAAATATAATGAAAGCTACAATAAAAAAAAAGATGAAGATAGCTACTTTTCCTGACTGATAGCTGAAAAAATACAAGCCTTTTTCCTTCAAATTTTATCTTCTGAACCACTCTCACTACTGAACAGAGATCTGTAAATGCCTCCATGATCAGGCTGTTGGTACCCAAAACCTGTGGCACAAGACTTTCAGTGAAAGAAAGCAAGTATGAACTGCCTTTCTCTCAAGAGTGTTATGTGACATTTTTATTTTCTGCAATATAAAATATCAAAAGGGAAAGGGAAAGGGAAAGGGAAAGGGAAAGGGAAAGGGAAAGGGAAAGGGAAAGGGAAAGGGAAAGGGGAAGGTTTGGGAAGGGAAGGGAGTAGGAAAAAAAAAAAAAGAAAAG